GGAAAAGTACAATGGTAATTGGTCAGAGCAGGGCTCATACTATAAAGCACATGTCTCTTCTTGTTGTCCTAGAATGAAAATTAAAAAGAAAACAAATAAAAAAATTACAAAAGTATTAGGTAAGTGCTTAAGGAACGTATACTATTTCCATCCTTCCTATTTATTTTCTATTCCTCTAAGTCTTGAGGGAGAACAGCACCGGCAGAGAGAAACTGGGGCAGATCTGAGCAGACTTCTCTCTTATCTTTCTTTCTGAGAGTACTTGTTACCCCAAAGATAAGGATACATTCTATGCCAAATCCCCCCTGAAAAATTATGTGAACTTCTCAGTCCAGGGTGGGTGCATCGGGTGTGCAGTTTCACTCAACAATAGCTTGACCTAACTCGTTGTTTGGTGGGTCCTGTTTGCTCCCTGGTTCCAGAAAGTTGTTCCTTTGCTCAAATCCCTGCCTTATATAAATAAATAAATACATACATACATACATAACCCAGCTCTAGAAGCTAAAATTGAATTATGTCTGCTACCCTGATTCTAGAAAGGGGGCCCATGCCTTGTCTTCTCTGTATCTGAATCTCTGCTCAGTCCTCTGGGATCTATTGTCTGTTTCACCTTTTCCCACCTCAAGGCCTAGAACCCACCCTGAACTGACTGCATTTGGGACCCCACATTCTCAATTTCCTGCATGATGGTGAGAAAAAATAGGTGGTAGGTACATCTTATTTCTAGGTGCACATTAGCCTTTTTTTCTTTAACGCTTCTTGTCACAGAAATATAAACGACCTCACTTAAAGATTTTAATTTTTCTAACAAAGATTCCAGCTTAAATGCAAATTGGTCCCCTTTAAAAATATTGCTCTTTCTTACTAAGGTAGGTAGGTAGATTATTACTGCAAAAACAATTTCATCATACTGACTTATTTTTTATCACTTTCATTCCTATCATTATTAAATTATCCATAAATACATTTTTAGTTGTTTGATCTTTGTTTGTGCTTTTAGATAGGCCGATTTATTCTGTATCACATTTGCCATTTCTGATATTCTGCATCAAACACAGTGACTGTGCTTTGGGCAAAGGTCAGCATTTTTTATGAAGAGGCAGGACAATGAGCATGCAGTAAAACATGAGAGCCACTGTTCTCTGCAGACACGAGAACAACAGGTTTCAAAAGTGCATTTAGTAGGCAACTACGCATACTTTTTGTAATTGAAGCTGAATTTTCTCCCAAGTATATTTAAACTTTAAACTAATGTAAGTATTGAGTACAGAGGCTTGGCCAATCATTTTAATAATTTCAAATATAGATGTTTTATATACTCTTTTAGTACTTTTTGATCGATAAACATTATAGCCAGCATTTTCTTTGAAAAAAGCTGGTAGTCGTCACCTATCAAAAGGTTCTTGGTGGTATATCTGTGATGTAGAAAAATACTAACATGAATACTGGCAAATTATTCTTCTCAAACATGCATGATAAGTATTACTGTTGTTTTCTGTTCCTAATAATTTGATGCACTTCTGAGAACTTTTGAAAAAGAAACCCACACACTGCATTTTAAAATGAAAACTGACAATCAGGAATTGTTTGTCTGGCTTTTCTTATGAACAGGCTTAACTTATATACGTAGTTAGCTAATGCCTCTCCATTTAACTTACTAAGTTAAAAGTAGAGAAATTTTGACTCCATTTATTTTCAAAAAGTAACTTTTTAAAATTCTATAAGTTCAGATTTTTTTAAATGCTTTTTAATTTTTAAAGCTTATCTCTGAGGTCAAGCATTTTTTCTTTGGGCAAACTTAGGGCATTAATCAGCCTGCGAGAAGGGGTATTTCAGGCAAGTAAACTCACTGATAATTGAGAAGTCAGACTATTTGCTTTTTCCACAGATAGCACGGGCCCCATCTTTGAGGTGGCTTTCCGTCTTTGAGATTGACAACCTGAACAGCAAGACAGAGCCCAGAGACCCAGTTTTTTTGTTTTTGTTTTTGTTTTGTCTTTTTTCGTGACCGGTAACGGGATCGCAACCCTTGGTGTCGCGCCCGCACCGCGACCAGCAACGGGATCGCAACCCTCAGTGTCGCGCCCGCACCGTGCTCAACCAGTGAGCAGACCAGTCTCTATATGGGATCCGAACCCTCGGCGGGAGTGCTGCCGCACTCCCAAGCGCCGCACTCTACCGAGTGCACCACCCGGCCGGCCCAGAGACCCAGTTTAATTGAACTCACCTGTAACCCATTCTCAGGGTAAATACCAGAAAGTTTCCAGTAAACTTTATAAGTTATCAGATGAAATACTCACTTTTAACTTTGTTATTTACATCAGGATAATATCAGTAAATGGTCTTTTTGCTCATTTGTCTCAACACAATCTCAACATTGTCAGAGCTGTTAGGTTTTCCTACACAGCTCTCTTTTCATTCCTCCACATTAATATCAAACCTCCAGCCATCATATCCCAAACATATTTCTCATTTCCATCTAAATGACAACCTCACTTCTTTCTTCAAATAGAACATCAAATCTCCTTTACCCTCATCCCATTTCTCTTTAAATCAGCAACTATATAGGGCGAAGCCTTGCATGTGAGTGTGAAGGAGGATATCCCTAGGATTTCTGGATGTGGCATGTGGTCATTGACAGTGTCATTAACTGAGAGAACAGAAGATAGAAAGAGAATAAAGCAAAAAGAGTGATGAGTTCAGTTTGGGACCTTTGAGTTTTAGGTTCCTGTGAGACACTTGGATATGGAGGTGTCTATCAAACCATTGGATATAATGTCTACTGTATTTGCTGAAGTTACTACTAAGTTTCAATATGAGGACTATTGACATATAAATGATAGTTTATTCATAAAAGCAAAAGAGATTACCTAGGGAGAGCATGTAGAGTGAGAAGAAAAATGAACCAGAGATGGAATCCCGAATCACACCGAGAAACAGTGGGCAGAGGAAAGATGTCCCTCAAAGAGGTTAGAAGATGGCAATCTGAAAGGACAGAAGAGAACCAGCAAAGATAGGTGCTGTGGACATCAAGGAGTAGCAGAAATAAATGGTCTATTGTGTTAGCTGCATCTAGTAAGATGAGAACTGAAAAACGTTCATTAGATTTGGTGTGAAGTCATTGGTGATGTTGGCCAGAGATTATCACAGGAGTCAACCTTTTTGCTAGAACCCAATTCCTCTCGCTTTTGTAAAACCTTGCCACTTTAGGTTTTCCTTTTGTTCTCCTGCAACTCAGCCTGTTCTCTACTGGATTATTTTCATCAAAGTGAGCTGGTATCTCCAAACTTGACCCAGACTCTCCCTCCAGCGGCCACCCAATATCTCTCTCTACTCCTCATGCATAGCCAACCTTCTTGAAAGAAGTGCTTGTCTTATATCTGCCATTTGGAATCCAATTCACTCATTAACCCATTGCAGTTTGGCTTCTGCACCATTACTTCCATCAACTTTCTACAATGACCTTTGGGCAGTGAAATTCCACAGACATTTTTAGACCTCTCACTAGAATTAAACATCATCAACCGCTTTCATTGTATTGATACATTTTCTTTTGGCATGACACCATACTCTTTTGCATCTTTTCTTCCTTATTAACAATCCTTGCTTTGTATCCTTTTCTGGATTTTCTTCTTCTACCCAAATTCTGAATGTCACCGTTTTCCCAGATTTTGTTCTGGACTCTGTTCTTGCTTTCTAAACTCTCATAGGTGATCACATCTGTTACTGGATTTTAAATGCCTCCCATAAGCTGCAATTGTCAGGTTTATATCACCAACCCAAGCCTTTCACTGAACATCTGGTATACGCATACCTACTGAATGGAGTGAACATGAAAAACTTTAACAAATACTTGATAAAAATAAGAAAGAAAAAGAGACACCACATTAGGAAACTGAGATGGTGGGAAAAGGTGAAAATGACCAGTAAACACATGAAAATATATCCAATCTCACTGGTAATCAAAACTCAAACTAAATTCCATTGGGCAAGATGAAGATGAATTATAAATACTTACAATAAAGAGTAATGTTGAAGAAATTGACACTTTCATGTAACATCGGAAGAATAACAGTACATTTAGAAGTATAGTTTGCGGGGCCAGCCCGGTGGCGCACTGCTACAGTGTGCCACTTGGGAAGCGTGGCGGCGCTCCCGCCGAGGGTTCCAATCCCACATACAGACCGGTTCCCGCTCACTGGCTGAGCGAGGTGCGGGAGCAACACCGAGGGTTGCAATCCCGTGGCCGGTCCCAGTCTGGTACAGGCGCGACACTGAGGGTTGTGATCCGTTGCTGGTCACGAAAAAAGAAAAAAAAAAAAAAAGAAGTATAGTTTGCAAATATGTATCAAAATGCAGATTATACATGTTATTTGTCACATTACCACTTCCAGAGATGCATCCTGGAATGCATGATATGCAGACAGTGTTTTTCATTATAGAGTTTATAAAAGCAAAAGTCTGGAAGCAATCTAAATGTCAATCAATAGAAAAATGAGTTAAATAAATTATGTATTGTCAGCATATGAGGATATCATGCATATAATAATATGGCTATATATTTATTTTAGAAATAAGAGTAATACTACACACACATTAAGTTTAAAAAAAGCAGTTTCTGAAATAATGTTTATGTTATGATCCTTTTAAAAAAGTATTTGTTTACACATGAAGAAAAGAGTCTGAAAATTCAAGACATGATACAGTGGTGATAGTCTTTTTTGGGTGCTGTTATTATGAGGACTCCTTATGTTCTTTATACTTTATATATTTCAGATTCTTTCATCATGAACATGTTATTAGCTTTCACCCCTTAATTATAAAAAGCTGTCTCCCTGCAAATGAATGTGAGTGTGACTTTTCAGTTCTTAATTACTGTGATTGACACTTGACAACTGCGGGGTAGGGGGAAGATTTCCTCTCTCCATAGTACATTTTCTCTTATGACCGATGGTTGGTTTGTTTGTTGTTTTTGTTGTTGTTGTTGTTGTTTTGGGCACTGGCTGGTACAGGGGTTGAACCTTGGGCTTTGGCGTTATCAGCACCACGCTCTAACCAACTGAGCTAACCGGCCAGCCCGTGACCAGTTTTGATAGGAGACTGGTAATGCATGTCACCTACTCCTTAGTCCTTCCCAAGAGAGGTTAGGGCGCTGCTGACTATGTACCTTCTGGTCCATAAATACCTTAATGGAACACTTTAGCACTATTTCATTTGGAAACTTTGGTTTTCAGCAAGTTGTTTTTCAGTTAGAAATCAGCGATAAAAACTTTAAAAGAAATGAGCATCCATTTAAAACAAAGTTGGCAGAGAGCTACCTGAAAATAACAGATTTCAAGGCTTTGAAGATTAGAAGACATGTAAGAAGTTCAAATAGCTTTTTTCCTATCTAGAGAATTGGATAATTCACTGCTCAATTAGCTAAGGAGAGGTCTTTTTAATTTTAACTAGATGTAATAAGGAAAGATAGTATACAAGTGTTCAAAGCATATTGAAGGTCTTTTTTTTTTTTAAGTTTTTTTTCCCCCTGTTTTTGAATTTTAAGATGGAGGCTATAGCTTTCTTAATGAAAGTGGTTATAGATTAATAAATATTCTAAAGCATTTTACTAAAAAGTATGTCTGATAGGCCCAAAGTCCTGAAAGAAAATGTTAATTTAGATAATTATTAAATACTTATCTGTTAGTAAAACAAATGATTATCTACTAGAAAAACAAAACAATTTCATTGTTTGAATATTTTGTAAAAATATCAGTCACCTAGAGTCCCACAGAGATATCCATTCCCCCATTCCTTGTTTCCAGACTTACATTGATAATAGTTGAAAGAAAGCAAACTTAAATAAGGAATTTACTGGAAGCAACAACATGATACCAGTATATATTAATTTCAATCTCCTACACTGTCTACCTTTTCAAGCATATTACTAATAATATTCTGGTTATATTCATAAGCTTAGCAAATGTTTAATTATCAAAGGAAGATTGATTTATATTCAGCATATTTCCAAGGGAGAAAGGTGTTTTTTGATGGCACTTCTTCAACAAAAAGTTATCAAACAAAAAAAAGATTCTTGAATCACTATCAATTGACCTGAAAATATAATAGTTCACAGACTCCCATGCATTCCAAATAATTGAGTTTTAAGTCCCTTTGACTTTTATCTTTACAGCTAAATAATATTGCCGATTTTCTATTTCATTAATTTCTTTTTTTAAGGTGGATATATGTATAATATAAAAAAAATAATTGCAATATTGTAAAAACTTTCATTTCATTTTAAAATTGAGAGGAAGTATGTTGGTACAACTTAATCAAAAGTATATGTTATGAAATATTTTTAAAAGACATAATAATAGTCTTATTCAGAGATAAGAGACAGAGTTGTCACATCTTAGAGCAGAATTTCAAAGTTTGATTCATACATTACATACCACGAAAAGATTCTTTAGGTGATCTGTGCATTAATTATTTAGATAAATAATCTACAAAATAGGACAGAGCAAAATAGAGAAATTTTAATGCTTTACCATATTACATCAAATGCAGTAATGGAATAACACCTGTAATGGAATTTCACTGAAAACAATACTGATTTTCTGTTAATAGTAGAGAAATTGTGCAAGGAGAGGGCCTGCTGATAAGAGCAGATCCAGTACACAGTTCCATGAGGACAGAAACCGTCTTTCCCATTTTCATATCATGCTGTACCAAGGCCTCAGTAACTACATGTCGAGTGAATTGATGTGGAGGCAGAAACACTCTCTTTTGGGGTTTTGACATGAAGAGTACATTGGGAAGGAGGCAGGGAGGCTTTGTCCTGCTTAGGTGTTCCAAAAAGCAAAAATGTTGAAAGACATATCTAATATAAACACATTAATTGATAGCTAAGGATTTGCTTTCATGATTTAGCAATATAGTATACTGTAAATGATTTGGGAAAAATGTATCTTTTTAATTAAAGCATATATGCATTTCCTTCATGCTGTATATAGTATAAAAATGATCAAACACTACTTCTCTCTTCTATCTTTCTTTTTAAAAAATAGTACAAAATTCACTTCAGTCCTGTTCATGTGACTGATTATTGCCCTTCTCTCTAATACTCAGACCATACTTCTAGAGAAAGTAGAAACTGTCAAGTATATACTCAGCCAGCTTCCCTCTCATCCATCTAAAATTACCTTCCTGCCTGCCTCTTAAACAAATGGTCAGTCTCCTGCCTGTGGTTAATTCCTCTGTTTGTGCGATTGTCCCACTCCCTCAACTTCCATGACAGCATCCCATTAGTTAATCCTTCTCTCTTCTTTAATCATAGTTGCTCTTTCTCAACAATCTCCTTTCTCTTACCCGGAAATGGAGCTTTTCCCATCCTAAGGAATAGCCTTCCCTCAATCCTATTTTTGACTAACTACTGCCCTATCTCCCTCATTCCCTTTACTGCCCAAATTCTTGAATACAAGTCTACACTGTCATGCACTCCTCCTCTTCTCAGGCATTATTCAAGCCACTGAATCTAGCTTCTTCCCCCACCACTCATTGCTCGGGTAGTTGCCATCCCTGTTATTGTCATGGTCATTGTCATCATAGCAATGTCTGTGTAGCCTCTGTTGCTTCCTTCAAATCAGTCTCACATATTGCATCCAGAGTGAAAATTCTCAAATGCTAATATGATCATGTCCCCATGTCTTCAGAATAGACTGAATTCTTTAACTCACAGTTCAGAACCTAACCCTGCTTTCCTCTCCATCTTCATATTCCAGCCAAAAGAAACCACTTTTGGTCCTTGGACAGATCATGCTCTCTCAGCTCTGTCCCTTTGCACGTGCTGGTCCCTTTGCCTAGAACCCCTCCCTTCCCCAGGCCTCCCTAGCATTTAGCACAGAGCATGGCTCACAGTATTGTTTTTTATCCTTTAGATTAAAATAATCTAGAACCTTATCTTAGAATGCTCTAAATTCAGGAAACTGCAGTGACGGCTCTGGCTGATAGGATCCTATTAACTTTTCTCTACATGTGCCAAAAAAGCTGAACATGCTAGTTATAATAACCTAGCTTTTATCTTAAAAACCTGTTAGGACCTTTTTATATCTGATTATAGATATCATATCTTTAAACTAGTATCTAACTATTAAAAGAGAAACTTGAAAGAGTTATTTAAGAAAAAAGTCTTAAAATTTTAATTATTTTAGGCATATTTCTTATAGGTAAACACAACAAAATAATTTTAGTGATTTTATCATTTTTATGCAGTAATTTTCATAGTATTTATCTCTGGGGAAAAAAATGTATGTTAAAGATGAGTTTCAAAACATCTAAAACATTCCTAGTTTTGTTACTACTGTTATGTTCACGGATGTTATATATAGTCAGACACATTCGAATAGATGATTTAAGTTTGTGGCCAAATAATACTCAGTTTTGCAATTTCCTATTTCTTTGGTGAGAAAAACATTGCGATATTGAAGTTATTAAGGTTCTTAGTATAAAAATACACCTCAATAAATGTTAGTTAATCTTGTTACATAAACTCTCAAAATTTACCTATATGTGGCATTTTGGATTATAAATTAGGCTATGTTCTTATGAGTAATAAACATAATATACATAATAATGTATAGTAACTCAACTTGTTGAACTTATTTTTGTTTTTGTTTTTGTTTTGACTTGGCCTGGTGTTGCCCGCACCACGCTCAGCCAGTGAGCGCACCGGCCACCCCCATATAGGATCTGAACCTGCAGCCTCGGAGCTACCAGTGCCACACTCTCCCAAGTGAGCTACGGGGCTGGCCCTTATTTTTGTATTTTTATCATGACATATCATTAGCAGAAGTGAAATTGAAATAAGAAATTCCATTTAAAAAAATAAAAACAATTTATTAATATAATTTTATTGCCACTGGTTGCTTTTTGTTAAATAGTTATCATATTAGCTTGCTTGTTGACAAATTTAGAGAAGACTATGCATTGTGGACTGATGCTCTAAATCATTGCTCAGATGTATATCTATGTCTGTATGAGTATCTATATCTGTTCTGTATCTATATCTGTGTCTATATATTTAGGGATTTCATCAAAAATGCCTAAAAATATTAGTGATATCCTTTCCAATAAAAAAGATGAATATGTTGAGGTATCATATTGATTTTTTATTTTAAGTGTTTAACAGCTTAACCACTAAAGTATATCTCTATGTAACAACTATGTAGTTTTAAGAGAGGACCCAGTTCACCCTGTGTGTGGTACACATGTCCTCTCATTTACTTAAAAAGTATCAGTCAATAGATTTCAATTGAACTCCTACCATGTGCAAAACACAATGATCTATGGAAACACAAAACACCAAGAGAGACAGACCTGCCTCATGCATTTATAGTCTGGAAAGAAAAACATGATGTATGTTCATGAAAAGTCAACACTACAATGATGCCACATGACTATTAAAAGAATTATATAAGTAGTAATTAAATTTAGTATATATAGAAGTAGAGATTGATGGAAAGGCAACAATGTCATCAATTATGAACACTAAAACTCCTTCCCAGAAATTCTATGTGAAAAGATTAATTGCTCATGTTTTTACTGGATTTAGGAAATGATTCCCATGTTTCTTAGAACTGATGACTAATGGGTCAATAACATATGGTAGTATATAGTCTATAAAGGGCATTGAGGAAAATCCGGGGAAACTGAAGCTAATTTGAAGATTCTGAACAGTAGCAACAATAACAACAATGTCAATAACTAACATTAATTATTACTACTGTCCAGACACTGTGATGTGGCCCATGCATGGATTATACAATGAGAATGTGACCCATAGAGTCATAAAGTTTCTTGCAGAGAGCCTTGCTATAAATGTTTGTTTTTGTCATCATCTTCATCAATTCTTATGTCTTTATTTCCTTTATTGTCTGTATGATTTCAAATAAACTAGACCTGGCAATTTGGTTGGAAACAAAGAGACTTATCAAATAGAAATTAACCTGGGTAGAATAGATCAGAGCTGGGAAGGCCAAAACCAGGGAATCCAGGCATTTAGAAGAATATAATAGGAGGACAGAATACATAACA